CGGTCCGACCACGTTTGCTTCACTTCATAAAAGAGAGGCAGAGAAACCAGTCAGCACTCCTGCTAGTTTATGATATACAAAATGCCTAAAATGAGAGAGAGAAATGAAATGAAATCATCTTTCTGTGGCCTAGGAGTGGCTGCTGTGTAAAAATTGCTGAAAACACTTTTGTCAGTGTGCAGAAGGGTGGAGAGATGGTCGCTGCCTTGCTCTTTAGGAGAAGGTACCTTGAGTTCTTTCTGAAACAGAAGAACGGTAACCTGCAGTAGGACTGGCTCATTTGCAGGAATTTCTAGCTAATATTTGTTAGAGAAATTCTTGTCCTTTAGAAAACTCTGTGATGTGCCCTGGTTTTAGAGCTAATCTTTCAAAACTGAAATATGTGCTTTGAGGCTTACCTTTAGCAGAAGAAACGGGGTGATAACATTGTAAGCCATGTGGAAATAGTCTCCAGCACTTGGTTTGTTCAGAGGAAACCACTCCAAAGGTAGAATAATCTGAGGAGAGAGGAAAGAAGCAGATTCTCATGAGCAACTACTGTGTTTTACTTTCAAATGAGCAACTCACGAGCAACTGCTGTGTTTTACTTTTAAAACATCCGGAGGCCCCAGCAACTGCCTGAAAGGTGGTGAAGAGAGAGCCCTTGGTTTTGGGCTGCTGTTTCCTCATGGTTATGGTTTGAGTTAATGGTCAGCTGGCTGACCTGGCCTCACATGGCAGTTACTAACAAAGCTGATGAACTCTTCTTGCAGTGCATATAGCTAAAACGTAGTTTGGAGAGAGGCACTCAGTGTACAATGTTGTTTAGATCTCAGTCTTTTGTTCTTGTAGTGCTACCAGAAACAAATTTGGAAGGCAAAGACACTTCTGTCCTGCCCTGCAGTAGCTGGAGAGTCTCAGCAGCTCCTAAACTCCAGACCTACAAGCAGGGCATGGAGGAGAACAGCATAAACCTCTCTAGTTAGTCTTTATGTCATGAACAAATAAAACTGTCACAACTCTGGCATTCTATGTCCTAAAGAAGTGCATCAGGCAGGGGCTGCCTCTGCCACTCACCATCGCAATGGGACGCCCAAAGTCCAGCACCCAGTTCTGCAGAGTGAAGTAGAACCACAGATCAAAATGAAAGGGAGAAGTCTTGAAGGTGTCTTCGCTCTTGACCGCTCCATGTCTGAAAACAAAGTCAAAACCATCACTCTGCTGCAGTCTAGCACAGTTAGTGACTACAGTTTTGTACTGCTGCATGGTACCCAATCCTTCGCCAATCCCCCAGGAATTGTATAAGTCGAGGGGAGAGAGCAGGTTTCAAGGGATCTCGGGAAAGGACAGTCTTGCTCTGAGCAGATGGTGCCTAGAGAAGCAGAAACTCAGGCAGCAAATGAAGCACGGAGAAATGGGACCAACATCTGAGGTTCAACACCAGAGATGTATGGAAAGGCAGCGGACACAAGTCACAGCAGGTCCCTGCGCTTTCCTGGCTCTTTTCTGGCTTTTCCTGGAGTTTCTTGGTGTGAGATCTGTGGAGTAAGAACAAAGCTGAGACTCCAGCCAGAGGAGGACGCAGTACGGCAAGGCAAAGCATCATTAACCAAAACTGGCACATCCCTGTAAAAATGCTGTCAGCGGCTGTCAGCTGTCAGCTTTGCTGTCAGCAAAGCGAGCACAAAAGCAGAATGAAAAGCATCAAGTGTTGAATTCAGCACAACTATTTTAAACTTTTGCATGATAAAGCAAAATTAAACTCCCCCACATTTGTGGTGTATGCTAAATGCATCCCTCGAGCACAGGGATGCTCCGGCTGCGCGTTCACCTTGCCGGCTGGCAACCCGTCTCCTCTGCAGAACAGCTCCAAACACCAAACAACGCTCCAGCACCGTCAAACCTGCGTCTCCCTCCAGGAAAACAGCCCGTTTATCCCGGCTGTGCCTCAAAGTGCTCCAACGTGGTGCTGTGAGGGGAAGGACGCGGCTGCAGGGCGCTATCCGGGCACCCGGGAAGAGCCAGGATGAGCCAATGGGGCATCCGGGATGAGTGAAGGGAAACCTGGACAAGCAGCAGAGCTGAGAAATCCCAGTCAAGCTAGGGCGCTATGGAAAGGCCTGGGAAGGGTGGGTGAGCAGGGGGATGTGGAAGAGGCTGGGGCATCCTGGATGCCCTCTTCAGGGATTACAACTTCTCCAGGAGCAAGGGAATCCCAAGTGGGCTGGATTTCTCCAAGTAATCCAGGGTAACCGGGATAAAAGGGGGTGCTGGGGGTGAGCTAGGGGTCCTAATGAGCTGGGACATTCTGGACAAGGCGGTGGTACCTGGACAACCAGGAGGACCTGGATAAGGCCTCGGTACCCAGGACAGATTAGGGAGCTCTGGAACAGCCGGGACATCTTGGACAAGGCGGTGGAAGCCAGAGGCAGGCTGTAACACTGGGAAGAGCCGGGCGGGCTGAAAGGACCAGGACATCCTGGACAAGGCGCTGGGAGCCTGGATGGAGCCACGGGAGGCAGGAGAAACCGAGGGGCCTCGATGAGGCTGGCTGCGGGGACCAGGACAAGGCTGCGGCA